GCTCCACACCTGTCCTGCAGGGCCATCGGGTTGCCCTCCGGCATCATCCTCTTCCTCCTGGCCAAGCGGGAAGTGGACAAAAACCGTCAGGAGCAGCTCAAAATCCGCCGGACGATGATGGAAGCCAACCGGGGCGAGTACGAGTCAGAGCGATACAGGAGCGTGGCCAGGGGGACGTAGCTGGACCGGCCCCCACCCCGAGCCTGGCACTGTGGCACCTCAAAGGGATATCAGCCCCGTGGGGGACACAGCACTGGCACCTGCCCTCCCTTTCCAGCCCACGGGGGCAGTCGTGGGACTGGGTAGGGACAAAATAAACTTCATCCCTGGTGTGTGGAAGAGTTCTGTGCCACTGTGGTCACTCCTTCAGGGCTCAGCCCCAGGCTCTGCCTGCCCTCACAAGGGCCGTGGGGCCCAGCTGCCCTGCAGCCCAAGTTCTGCCCACAGGGATGGAGAGGTACAGGCACGGGAGGGAGACAGGGGCTGGAGCAGCTTGACCTTAGTTTTTGTACCCCAAAGCATGGTTTGGGCTGCCTCTAGTAGACTACAGTCCCCACTCAGGCAGCCCACAGGTTATTTTTCCTGAAAAAAAACACCAAGCCCACCACAGCACTAAGACCAGGACCACCTGGAAAATTAAAAGTATTTTATTTAGCAAGTTTTAACTTTGCCCACATCCGTGGCTGCAGGGCCTCTACGACCTGAGCTCTGCCACGAGTCCCACCACAGGGGTCTCGGCTGCCCCCTGCCCCCCCCGGCACCGCCACAGCTCGGGGAGGGGTACAGCTGGAGCCGCGCTTAAGGCACTGAGTGAATGACACCAACTGAGCTTGACCAAAACCATCCCAACGTGAGCGACACTGACTGGACTCTGCCAAAAAAAAATCCCAACACGATCCCAGCAGTCGCTGCCAGCTCCCTGCGCCGTGCTGCTCCGCTGCCAGCCCAGCGCCCCTGGCACAGCCTCGGCAAGTAGTGCCAAGGCCGGGTGCCGCCTAAACACTGGCAGCCCATCCCCCCCGCCCTTGGAGGCCTGTGGGGGATGATCCAGGGAAGGCCTTTCCTATCAGCCTACGGGTAGAGGATGCTGAAGCGTTTTAAGAGTCGTGATAAGTGGCCGTATCCTGTACGGAGGCCAGAGGAGCAGGTGAGGGGGAGTGGGAGGCAGGGACAGGAGAGGTCCTAGGGCTAGTCCCGACCCACAATCTGCAGGATGAAGGTGAAGATGTAGACAATGTCAGTGTAGATGGTGAGGGCACCATAGACGTACTCCTCAGGGTTCAGCGTGTTCTTCCTGTTCCCCAGTACAAGTTGGGTGTCATAGGCAAGGAACTGGGGGGAGAGAGGGTGTCAGGCAGGGACCGAGGAGGGGTTCCCCCCTCTCCAGTCCCTGCCCAACACCTTCTTCCCACCGCAGCAGTCAACTCACCAGGGTGAAGGCGATAGCACCAATGGCTGCATACAGCATGTGGAGCCAGGGGACCTGCACAGAGGAGGGGACATGGGCCAGGTGAGCTGGGTGCTGGCAGGCAGCGGG